AGCACTGGTAACTGACCAAAAGGGACTCGCAACGACCCAGAAGCACTGGGGAACGACCCGAAAACACTGGTCCCGAAACCAAAAACACTGAAAATGACCGAAGCATTGGGAAATGAACCCGAAGCACGGGAAAATGAAAACCCAAAAAATTGGTAACCCAACCAAACATTGGAACCTTTTACAGAACCACTGTTTTAAACCCCCCAGAAGAAATTGGGAAATTTTTACCAAAGCACTGGCAACTGAACAGAAACACTAGAAAAGGGCCGAGGCACTGGGAAATGACTAGAACCCCACTGGTAAACTTGGGCCCGAAACACTGGGAAAAGGGGGCCCGAAGCACGGTAAAATGACGAACAAATGGTAACTGGGCCCAAAACACTGGGAAATGACCAAAGACTGTTTTAAATTGGGCAGAAACACTAGTAACGAACCAGAGGCACTGGTAACGGCCAAAACACTCGTAACTGGCAGAAGCACGGTAACGGGCCCAAAAAAAAATGGTGACTGGTTAAAGCAAAAATGTTAAATTTACCAGAAGCAAATTTAAAAAACAGAAGCACAAATTTTCCCCCCCAACCTGGTAACTGGCCAGAAACCACGGGAAAATGGTTTAGAAGCTCTGTAACTGCCCCAAAAGCAAATGGGTGACTGCCAAAACCCCCCCCGACCCCCAAAAAAGTAAACCCCGGGAATAAAACCAAAGCCCCAGCACACGGGGTTTGGAACCCCGACGGCTATATGGGGCTAGATCCCAAACACTGGGAACTGACCAAAAAGTTAAAGGTTAAAATGACAAGAAACACTTTTAACTGACAAGAAGGGACTGGTAACTGACCCCAAGCACTTGTAACTGTCCCAGAACCACTGGGAAACTGTCCAGAATTTTTGGGAATTGATCAGAAGAGCTGGTAACTGTCCAGAAGCACTTTTGGGGAAATGACCCGAATGGCTGGTAACTGCCCCCGAAAACAATTGTAAACAACCAGAAGCACTCGCAAAAGACCAAAGACTGGTAACCGACCAAAGCACTTGGGGAACTGACCCAGAAGCACTGGTAACTGGGCCAGAAGCACTGGGAACTAAACCAAAAGCACCCGGAAAATGACCAAAGCCCTGGTAAAATTACCAAAAGCACGGTTTAAATGTAAACCCGAAGCACTTTGGGAACTGCCCCGAAGCACTGGTAACTGACCAGAAAAAACTGGTAACGACCAGAAGGGACTGGTAACCTGGAAACCCAAAAAAAAATGGGAACTGGAAACCAAAAACACTGGTAATGGGCCAAAGCACCCCGCAACTGAAAACCCGAAGCCCCTCCCCAACGACCCAAAACCAAATCGCAACTGACCAGAAGCCCTCGCAACTGACCCCAAAACCCCCGCAACTGACCAGAAGCACTGGTAACTGACCAAAGCACTGGGAACGACCAGAAGCCCCTGGTAACTGACCAGAAGCCGGGTAACTGACCAAAGCAAATGGTAACTGAAACCCAAAACACTGGGAAAATGACCAGAAGCACTTGGGACCCGACCCCGAAGCACTGGTAACTGACCAGAAGAAATGGTAACCCGACCCAGAAGCACTTTGGGAACGGGCCAGAAGCACTGGGAAAATGACCAAAACACGGTAACTGACCAAAGCCCTGGTAACTGACCAGAAGCATCGCCCAAAAAACCAGAAGCACTGGTAACTGCCAAAGCAAAATCGCAACTGACCAGAAAAACACTGGGAACTGGGCCCGAAGCACTGGAACTGACCAGAAAACACGGTAACTGACCAGAAGCAAATGGGGAATGACCGAACACTGGAACTGACCAGAACCCCGGTAACTGAACAGAAGCACGGTAAACCCGAACAGAAACACTGGTAAATGACCAAACAATTTGCAACGGGCCAAAGCACCGGTAACCCGACCAAAGCACTGGTCCCGACCAAAGCACTGGTAACCCGACCAGAAGCACTGGTAAAATGACCAGAAGCACGGGGAACTGACCAGAAGCCCCTGGTAACGAAACCCAAAACACTTTGGGAACTGACCCGAAAACACTGGTTTAAAGACCAAAGCCCGGTAACTGACCAGAAGCCTTGGTAAAATGTACAGAACCACTGGGAACTCTCCAAAGAATTGTAAATTTACCAGAAGCACGGGGAACTGATCAGAAGCACTAGTAACGGACCAAGGCCCCTGGTAACCCGAAATAGAACCACTGGGAACTGGCCAGAAGGGACTGGTAACTGGCCAGAAGCACTGGTAACTGGCCAGAAGCACTTGTAACTGGCCAGAAGCACTGGTAACTGGCCAAAAGCACTGGTAACTGGCCAAAAGCACTGGTAACTGGCTTGAAGGACTGCTAACTCCCCAGAGAAACTGGTAACTGGCTAGAAGCACTGGTAATTGACCAAAAGAACTGGAAACTGGCTAAAAGCACTGGTTACCTGTTAAAATCACTGGTAACTGGACAGAAGCATTGATAACTGGCCATAAAGACCGATAACTGGTCAGAAGAACTGGTAACTGGTCAGAGGCACTGTTAACTAACCAGAAGCACTGGTAATTGACCAGAAGCACTGGTAATTGACCAGAAGCACTGGTAATTGACCAGCAGCACTGGTAACTGACCAGAAGCACTGGTAATTGACCACAAGCACTGATAGCTGACCACAAGCACTGGTAACTGACCACAAGCATTGGTAAGTGACCACAAGCACTGGTAACTGACCACAAGCACTGGTAACTGACCACAAGCACTGGTAACTGACCACAAGCACTGGAAATTGACCAGAAGCAATGGTAACCAGAAGCACTGGTAACTGTACAGAACCACTGGTAACTGCCTAGAAGCACTGGTAACTGGTTAAAAGCACTGGTATCTGGACAGAACCATTGGTAAATGACCAAAAGCTCTGGTAACTGGTCAGAAGCACTGGTAACCGACCAGAAGCACTGGTAACTGGCCAGAAGTACTGGTAACCGACCAGAAGCACTGGTAACTGGTCAGAAGTACTGGTAACTGGCCAGAAGCATTGGGAACTGGCTAGACGCACTGGTAACTGACCAGAAACACTGGTAACTGGTTAGAAGCACTGGTAACTGGCCAGAAGCAGTGGTAACTGGCTAGAAGCAGTGGTAACTGGCTAGAAGCAGTGGTAACTGGTTAGAAGCAGTGGTAACTGGCTAGAAGCAGTGGTAACTGGTTAGAAGCACTGGTAACTGGCCAGAAGCACTGGCAACTGGCCAAAAGCACTGGTAACTGGCCAGAAGTACTGGTAACTGGCTAGAAGCACTGGTAACTGGTTAGAAGCACTGGTAACTGGCTAGAAGCACTGGTAACTGACCAGAAGAACTGGTAACTGGCTAAAAGCAATGGTAACTGGCCAGAAGAATTGATTACTGGCCATAAGCACCGATAACTGGCCAGAAGTACTGGTAACTGACCAGAAGCATTGGTAACTGATCAGACGCATTCGTAACTAACAAGAAGCACAGGTAACTGTCCAGAAATGCTGGTAACTGTCCAGAAGCATTGGTAATTGACCAGAATCACTGGTAACTGTCCAGAAGGACCGGTAACTGACTAGAATTGCTGGTATCTGTCCAGAATCACTGGTAACTGCCCAGAATCACTGGTAATTGTCCAGAAGTACTGGCAACTGACAAGAAGCACTGGTAACTGTCCAGCAGCACTAGTAACTGACCAGAAGCACTGGTAACTGACCAGAAGCACTGGTAACTGACCAGAAGCACTGGTAACTGACCAGAAGCACTGGTAACTGACCAGAAGCACTGGTAACTGACCAGAAGCACTGGTAACTGACCAGAAGCACTGGTAACTGACCAGAAGCACTGGTAACTGACCAGAAGCACTGGAAACTGACCAGAAGGATTGGTAACTAACCAGAAGCATTGGTAATTGACCAGAAGCACTGGCAACTGATCAGAAGCACTAGTAACGGACCAGAGGCACTGGTAACTGACTAGACGCACTGGTAACTGGCCAAAAGCACTGGTAACTGGCCAGCATTGGTAAATGACCAGAAGCACTGTTAATTGGTCAGAAGCACTAGTAACGAACCAGAGGCACTGGTAACTGGCGAGAAGCACTCGTAACTGGCTAGAAGCACTGGTAACTGGCTAGAAGCACTGGTAACTGTCCAGAAGCACCGGTAACTGTCCAGAAGCACCGGTAACTGACTAGAATTACTGGTATCTGTCCAGAGTCACTGGTAACTGTCCAGAATCACTGGTAACTGTCCAGAAGTACTGGTAACTGACAAGAAGCACTGATAACTGACAAGAAGCACTAGTAACTGTCCAGCAGCACTAGTAACTGACTAGAAACACTAGTAACTGGCCAGAAGCACTGGTAACTGACCAGAAGTACTGATAACTGCCCAGAAGCACTGATAACTGACCAAAAGCACTGGTAAATGACGAGATGCACTGGTAACTGACCAGAAGCACTGGAAACTAAGCAGAAGCACTGGTAACTGAGCAGAAGCACTGGTAACTGACCAGAAACACTGGTAACTGACCATAAGCACTGGTAACTGACTAGAAACAATGGTAACTAACCAAAAGCAATGGTAACTGGCTAGAAGCACTGATAACTGGCCAGAAGCACTGGTAACTGGCCAGAAACATTGGTAATTGACCAGAAGCACTGGTAACTGGTAAGAGCCACTGGTAACTCATCAGAAGCACTAGTAATCGACCAGAAACACTGGTAACTGGCCAGAAGCACTGGTAACTGGCCAGAAGTACTGGTAACTGACCAGAAGCACTGGTAACTGACCAGAAGCACTGGTAACTGACCAGAAGGACTGGTAACTGTCCAGAAGCACTGGTAACTGTCCAGAAGCACTGGTAACTGTCCAGAGGCACTGGTAACTGTCCAGAAGCACTAGTAACTGTCCAAAAGCACTGGTAACTGTCCGTAAGCACTGGTAACTGTCCAGAAGCATTGTAACTGTCCAGAAGGATTGGTAACTTACCAGAATCACTGGTAACTGTCCACAAGCACTGGTAACTGTCCACAAGCACTCGTGACTCACTAGCAGCACTGTTGACTCACTAGCAGCACTGGTGACTTTCTAGGAGCACTGGCAACTCACTACGAGCACTGGTAACTAACTAGGAACACTGGTAACTAGTAACACTGGTAACTAACTAGGAACAAGTAGTAGCTAGAGGCATTCTTTAGCTTCCCCGGCGCTCGAGGTCAATGCCCAAGCTGGGGTATGGCTCCAAAAGGATCCTGTAGTGTTTGCTGCCTTTGCACCTCCTGACATCGTCTGCTGCTATGCAGCTGCCACACCCTTCGAGCCAGTGCGGGTGGGGTTTGTGGTAGCCCAAGGTGCCTAGCTTCTCCCTCCGAGCCCTATAGGGGCGGGAAATGTGGCTAGGCCTAGGGACAGCTGGTCCCAGAAAATGAGGAGGTACCTGTACCTCCTCCAATAGCAGACACTGGTCTGAGACACTCCCACGACACGGAGCAATGGCCGGGCCACCTCTTGGAAAAGGCCCGGGCCGGGCGATTATACCGCCGAGCCTACTACCTACCTAGAATTTGTATTGATAAAGCCACTGGATGGCAAAAAGTCTACAATAAAGGTACCCAGATGTTGCATATATGTCTAACTTTCACATTAAGATGTGTTTTCATAAGACATCTGTCGTCCCTATTCACCCATCAGTAAAGTGGGTACCTGGGTGTTAGTGGACTGGTGTGGGTTGCATCCTTGGACAAAATTGACCTAATTTGCCCGAATTACTCTGCACAACAATCGGCTTTCTATATAGTAGTATATCACTGAAGTCAGCCTTGGTCTGTATGTCTTGTACATATACTTGTAGAAATAAAGATATCAAGTCTAATGATCGAAATAGAAAGGTCTTCCTCTCAGATGGTGTACTTACTCTAAACATATGGTTGGCATCACTGGTATAGATACCATCCCTCTGGTTGGTAGTGTACTGCAGTTCCATCTGGTAGAGAGCATACAGTTCTTGCAGTTCTGGAGACATAGTCGTCTTGGTCTCTGTAACACCAACACTCGCTACACTTAATGTACACTGACATAATTAACTCGTAACTTCTATGGGGCCCAGTAGTGGAACTATGTTAAACCCATAATGTTGACCAGAGATTTAACACTCAATTATTAAACATATTCTAGTTTCCTACTTAAGTGTAGCATAATGTAACACATATACAAGGCCTACAAGATTCATTTATCTGTTTATTTTGGATAATTAAATTTATGAATGTGAGATCTTGTAAATAAATAGTACTCCCGTAACAACTTTTTCAGTTTATTTTTAATCCTTGAAAATTTTCCTGATGAATTTGTAATGGTCAAAACTTAATTTCACGGATAGAAATAAACAGAAGCAGAGAAGTTTAAACCATCTAAAAAATCATATTAGAAGCTAGGCTATGGAGAAAAATTAAGGGGGGTTGGACTTAAGTGGGACTTGCACACGAGTTAACAGGGTTATCCAAGTTTATTAATGGGTAGCACTGAAAATGTGTTGGGCAAACCATACCACGGGCGGGATTTGAACCTGGTTTGGGTTGGAGAAGAACCTGCCTAGTATGGGCCAGTAGGCCTGCTGCAGTGTTTTTTATGTTCTGTATACTCATGCTCGTGATGGCCATCTTGGATTTCTGCAAATTCTATATTAGATGCCGAGAAGTGAGAGCAATTAATGTAATCCTTTACCAAAAGAGTAAAGAGTAATTTCAGTCCTAGCATTTGTTTCCGTAACAGCGTCTGTTCAATAAACTAAACTTGGATCACCTCAGCCTTCGATTCCCCTTCAACAAGAGTGGCAACAAATGCTCAATGTTGCCATGATATTATTCATGGGATACTCTACCAAGGATAACTGAAGGTAATTAATTTGAAGAAAAAGAACACTGGAATACCAACAACTGCAGTTTGGCTACAATGGCTGCTGGAGGACATTGTTGACACATAAGTATGCAAATCCTACACAACACAGACAAGTAGATGAGTAAAACATGTGTAACAGTCTGATGTCTTTATTGCCGAAATGTTTCATTAATAAAGATACCCAACTGTTGCACATGTGTCTTAATCTTCAGTCTTCCTCAGTCAAATAGAGAGAGCGGAAGCGTTTCGACAGTAAAAATAAGTGTAAGACGCGTCTTACTCAAGTGTTGATACAGACTCCAACTCACCATGACCATCGTGAATGGCTGTCAAAGAGAAAAATATTTTCAATACATAATTATTATTATTATTATTATTATTATTATTAATGGGAAATGGTATGGTGATACCGACAAGGTGTGGAAACAGACACTTATGTACAGTACAGGTGACTTCTTCAGTCCTAATACAGAGATAACTAAGAAAACGAGTATATATAGTTACAGTAGTCAGAGGGAGTGTCACGTGGGTAGCACTAGTAGTGGTAGTAGTAGATGTTCTACTCACTGGTGAAAACACTCTCTGAACATCTACCGTAAACCTACCTACAAGAACAACTGACACTAGAACTAAAAGGAGGGGTAGTTATAGGTTTCTTTCTGAGAGCTTCCAGGATTTCCAACCCGCAGTTCCTCGAGGAAGAATGTACACACATTACACATTCTTTTAGTTCACTAATTTCCCATACACTTCATACATGACTGCAGGACATGTGCAACACGAATCCTCAACAATACCAACATCAATCAAGTTGAACAAAAGCCTCCAAGTTGGTACAATTACTGACAATATGTAAAGTAAAAGGACACAAGTGCAACTAATGTGACATTTTTATTGTGGCAACGTTTCGATCTCCAGGAGCTTTGTCAAGCCGTTACAAACAGTACACGAACGAACGAACGAAAGTTCAGGGCTCTGGTGGCCTGGTGGTTAACGCTCTCGCTTCACACGGTGAGGGCCTGGGTTCGATTCCCAGCCAGAGTAGAAACATTAGACGTGTTTCTTTCCACCTGTTGTCTATGTTCCCCATCAGTAAAATGGGTACCTGGGTGTTAGTCGACTGGTGTGGGTCGCATCCTGGGACACTGACCTAAGGAGGCCTGGTCACAGACCGGGCCGCGGGGGCGTTGACCCCCGGAACTCTCTCCAGGTAAACTCCAGGTAAGATCCCAAATGGGATGAGCGGGGAAGACGGGACAGATGAAGAATAGTGCTGGAGAGGAGTGTTCTTAGTCGTAGAAATAGTACATGGACACAGAGGGTATATATAGGCTCAGATTGAGGTGCAATACTAGTGGTAGTAGTAGTAAGACAAGTTGTAGTAGTAGTAGTAGTAATACAATATGTTAGAACAATAGACTCGCACAAGAGTAAAAGGATATAAAAGCTATAACTTGGGTAACATAAGAATAGGTTAGAAAAATATTTCTATTGGAGGCTGGATAGAGAAGGTCTGTTTCAATGTAATGTGCTTTGTGTAGTATTAACAGGAGAGACTATGTGATGGCAGGGTTTTCTGTTTTCAGGAGGATTCTTGCTAAGACTTCAGAGATGGTGAAGCTGCCTTTGTTTTGTTTACTGTGTACAACATCGAAATTCCACCAATCGTCTCGTGAAATTCATGGACGCCCAATTAGTGATCAAAGAAACCAATTTCCGCAGACGCAAGTGTCTTGAATCTTCACACATAGCTGTTTCTAATACAATTAAACAAAACAAAGGCAGCTTCACATGTTTGAAGAGAGTCATGGAGACAGACCGCTCCTTCACCCTGGAGGAACTGGATTCTCGGCAGAAGGTTACCAAGGGTGTAGTGATGCGATACCCGCTGATGATGCCCATCGAGGCAGTAGCAGCTCACCCCAGTGTCGTGTCAGCAGGCAATGCACCAACCCGGCAGGCCCTCATTCAGCATGTAGGACCGGTGCCATCCCAGCTGGACCTCGGTTCTTGGGGCAGGTACGATGTCAGGACCTTCATGGCAGAACCAGTTCGCTGTTTCAAGTGCCAGCATTACGGACAATTGGGTGCACTCTGTCCGAACAGAGTAATCTGCGGTGTCTGCAGCCAGCCCCACCCTACCGAGGAATGCATCACCAAGCTGAAGAATGCATCGCCACCCATTCCACGATGCCCGAATTGCAGGCAGAAACACCATGCCTGGAACCCTCGATGCCCCGAGAGGCTCGCTAGAATTCGTGAGGCCTGGAAGACGCCAACAACGAGACAGCAGGCTACAGCAGAGCATCACCCTCAGCAGACGATGGGTGCAGAGAATCCTGCCATACTGCAGAATTCTCATCAGGCAATCCAACTCAATGCCCAGGAATTTCCGACCCTTGAAGAGTCAACCAGGCGTCATGAGCAGGAGCATCCTCCCCCACTACCGCAACGAAGAAACAAAAACATGAGGAACAAGCGGCGCCAACAGGAAACATCTGGGCAACGCAATCAGCAGACGGCACTACACGAACCCCCACCGGCCTCCTAGCCAGGACAGCCACTATGCAGGCTGTGCCTGCACCTCACCAGCAGATACCTGGTACACAACTTGGCATACAGCAACAGGCCACGGTGTGCACAGTGAAGAAATACAACCCTCAGCAGACCCCACAGATTACAGCAGCCCAGATAATACCCACTGCTTCTAACCCACCGACAATGCAGGCCCTCAACAGGGAGAATCTCTTAACACTCATCAAGGCATTCACGGATATTATCTGCAACACAATCACCTCCACGGAACAACAGAGCCTGTTCCGGCAGATGGTCAGCACACTCCCGAGGGTGTGCTTACTGACAGAGCAGGAAACAGTGGATCCCATGAATCTGCAGATTATCAGAGCGGACAGAGCCGTCCCCAGCTCAGGAAACAGCTGAGATGGAGTAACCTCAGTGCCATATCATGGTCGCTTATGGGACACACTAACTGAACTGTCCAGAACAGTGCTTGAGCAGCATATGCTGCAACAGTGAAGAATCAATTCTCCTTCAGGAGCCAGAGACGGGTCATCTCAAGATTAAGACGCGTGCCAGGACCCTGGTCTTGGCGAACATTATACATGCACATACATGTACTGTTTGTAACGGCTTGACAAAGCTCCTGAAGAGCGAAACGTTGCCACAATAAAAATGTCACATTAGTTGCACTTGTGTCCAAGTTACATTGTTTTAGCAGTCAGCGACGTTGCAGCTAACGTTTCAAGAGTTTTTGACAGAAAACAAGCTAAAATATCCACCAGCTCCTCAGCTATTAAAAACCTGGTACACTTGTTGCACTTGTGTCCTTTTAATTTACACAAAAAAAAACCAAACATGGGGGAGGGGGTGACAAAGTACACGTCGGGGAAACAGCCAGATCTCTGGATATTAGGATCACAGAACACAAAAATGTTTGCAGAAATGATGACCGTAAAAACGCGTGTTCAACATAGGGACGATGTTGGACACCTCATGAAATTCAGTGAGGCTAAACTAGTGATTAAGGAAGACGGTTTAAGAGGTGAAAGTGACAGAGCTGCACCAATTGCTTAGTAACATCCGTCAAGCAAAGTCCGGTGTTACGATCTCAAAGTGCTAATCAACAGGATTTACCCATTCTGGAGTGTGTAACACTCGTAGGTCTTCTCTAACAACCAGTTCCCACAAGTTACTATCATCCTCTACCACCACATACTACCATCAACAGTATACTTACACCACTTCGACTGACTACTCTACACGCTCGCACCAACTAGTACTCCATCCTCTACTACCAAACACATACTCACCACCACTACTACCACCACAACTATCACCACCACTACTCCAAACCCACACACCACTACTACTACCACAACTCCACTACTCACCCACCTCATACTTACTACCACCACCACCCCACTACTACTACCACCTATCCTGCTACTATTTACTCAGCTCTTAGTTATCCTGTTAGGATTGAAGAAGTCACTCGTGGCGAAACGTTTCCTTAATAAATGTCCTATACTTCACAAGTGTCTTTTCCACCATTATTATTTCAATAAGCGCAAACCGCAAGGGCTAATAAGCTGGAAATCAGTTAGGTTAAGACATACAAAAGGGCACAATAGCGTGACTTTAACAACCACACATAACTAACTCCACTACACCAGCAAAAATACTCGCATTTCGGTCTATTATTACATTCTTAGAAATTCTAACACAGCACTCTCAAACTTTCTTTAAAATTCTAACATTAACAGTGCTTTTTCCAACATTATTATATTAAAGTAGCTGTCTAACGCATTAACATATAACTGGACACTAATATAGAGGTGTGCAAGAATAAATAAGCACACATACACTTAACTTTAGACAATCCACAACATTACAGCTACATACACTAATATAGACGCTGTTAAACCATACACTAATATACACTAATCTAGAGCTGTCTAAATATTTACACTACATACACTAATATATGAGCTGTCTAAACATTACACTAACATACACTAATATAGAGTTGTCTAAACATTACACTAACATACACTAATATAGAGCTGTCTAAACATTTCACTAACATACACTAATATAGAGCTGTCTAAACATTACACTAACATACACTAATATAGAGCTGTCTAAACATTACACTAACATACACTAATATAGAGCTGTCTAAACATTACACTAACATACATAATATAGAGCTGTCTAAACATTACACTAACATACACTAATATAGTAGTTGTCTAAACATTACACTAACATACACTAATATAGAGCTGTCTAACATTACACTAACATACACTAATATAGAGCTGTCTAAACATATACACTAACATACACTAATATAGAGTTGTCTAAACATTACACTAACATACACTAATATAGAGCTGTCTAAACATTACACTAACATACACTAATATAGAGTCTGTCTAAACATTACACTAACATACACTAATATTAGAGCTGTCTAAACATTACACTAACTACTAATATAGAGCTGTTCTAAACATTACACTGAAACACTAATATAGAGCTGTCTAAACATTACACTAACATACACTAATATAGAGCTGTCTAAACATTACACTAAACACTAATATAGAGCTGTCTAAACATTACACTAAAACACTAATATAGAGCTGTCTAAACATTTACACTAACATACACTAATATAGAGCTGTTTAAACATTACACTAACATACACTAATATAGAGCTGTCTAAACATTACACTAACATACACTAATATAGAGCTGTCTAAACATTACACTAACATACACTATATATAGAGCTGTCTAA